GTGTAGCATGCAGAAAGCTGGTTTCAGATTTACATCATGGTTCTGAGTGAGCAGTAAGAGCTAACAAAAATGTTACAGTTTTGTAAACTAGCAAACGGTCCAAGGAGATAGGTGAGGTGGGTTTGTTTATTCACTTTCAACATAAAAAGGCAAAGGATTGTTAGAATGGATACCTCTGTGAAATGACTCATCTGTGGAGCTTACAGCTCTGAGGTGTCACTGTGTCCAAGAACTGGTAGGGCTCAAAGCAGCATCCAGTGACTGGTGAGCGAGAGTGTTTCTCCATGTGGGTATAAATTCATCTGCTCCTAGTTGGGTAATGATCTCCAGTTTTGCTTTTATTGGCAGGTAGCTCTAGAGCTGTTCACTAGGGGATTTCTTGCATTCTTTGTGCTGTAGTGCTGGTCACTGTCAACAGCCAGATCTTTCCCAGTTTTCTTCCCAATGACATGGCTTAACCTGCTGGGTTCCTCTGACTGGATTCTTGCAGGTGTCGGGCTGGAAGGGAGCCATGAAGATGGCAGCTCTGCTGGAAGCCAGAGGAGTGAAACTCTCCTTCATACTAGACGAGGGCAGTGCAATACTAGATGGCATCATTGCAGGAGTGGAGAAGCCAGTAGCTGTGTAAGTAAGAGAGAACACTGTGACCAATTTCCAGCAGTGAATTTGTGAGAAATGACCTTGCTGTGTCAATACAACGAGTCCTCTCGCTGGAGAAACAACCATCAGCCCTCCAAACATGTAAAGATTGTGTTGAGGATTTGTTGTGGCTGCTTCTTTGGTGTTTTTTAGCATACTAAAAGTATGCAGAGTAATTATTTTTATCTGTTGTCTGAGCACGTGTGTTTGGAGTCGCATTAATTATTTATGTGCTTATCATAAACCAGAATTGCTATCACAGAAAAGGGTTCAATAACACTGAACTTCACTGTGGAGAAGGAGCCAGGACATTCATCCTTCCCTCCTAAGGAGACAAGTATTGGCATTCTGGCAGCAGCAATGTCCAGGTGAGAGCTTCCCTGTTACAGTCAAGCAGGTCTGAAGACACTTTTTTAATATTTGTTTTGAGTATTTTGCAAATCCCCTTTGTATATTTGAAATTGAAGTTTGTAGCTCACTGTGAAATGCAGAAATGCAAACCCCAGCACAGGGACAATTGCCAAGTGTCTGGGGTGTCTTCACTTCAGCTATTCCTAGTGTCAGTTGGTTGTTTAGAACCAAGACACATTGTGGTCTTTACCAGGATTTCCTCTGTAGGGATTGAGATTGCTCTGATTGCTCTGCAGAATTTCTCTGGAATTTATTCTTGCACATAACTACTTCTAGCTCTAATTATCCAAGCTAATAAACGTGGTGTGGAGTCAGAATGCGACTGGATAAATGATCTTGTGTTTCTGTGTGGGTAGCAAATTGGCAAATAAATATGTATTTTAGAAAAACTTACTGCTCTAGTTAAGACAGGATTTAGTGTGATGTTTTTCTAGATTTCCATGTATTCTTTAAGAGTCAAGCTTTGGGATTTTTTCAGCTTTTCTTGAAACAAAGTCTCTGCATGTGACTGGGGTGCTCGGAAATCTGTTGTGGAGCTGTGCTGACAGATTTAGTTACCAGGAGAGGAAAGCCTGATGGCACCTCTAATACATGGGTAGATTTCAGAATCCTAACAGCTTTCTGGAGCAATAATAGTCAGATTTTTATATTTCACATGCTGATTTGCTTTGCCATAGGCTGGAGCAGAATCCCTTGCGCAATCTGTTTGGCCATGGGCCGGAGCACATGACTATGGAGCACCTGGCAGCAGAGGTGAGGAGACAACCATGATTTCATTCTTCATATTACTAAGGGAAGAGTAACCCAGTGTAAGAATTCAGAGCATAGTCCCATAGTTTCTAGAAAGGAGAAGACTTAAGCTGGCCTTCCTCCCAGATAATTGTTTCTGCTGTAATTACTTCAGCTCTAGCCAAGTATAGACACTGTCTTCTTGAAAACCAGACACTTTCTGATGAGTGGTTTTGTTTCTTCCACTTAGTTCAGGTTTCCTCTCAACCTCATCATGAGCAATCTATGGCTGTTTTCACCTATTGTCAGCAGGTAAGAAAATACATCCTCAATGACCATTCCCAGCCTCTCACCCCTAAAAGCTGAAGACCACTGGCTGTTTCTGGGCTTCCCAGGACATTGGTTAAACCATTTCATAGTTCAGACAGCACTGGTGCTTTACCACTAATAACTTCTTTGTTAATTGAATAGGCCATCATTCATCTTACTGCCTGTGTAATGTAGTGCTTCTGTTTTACTGATGTTAAACTTCTTGGGTTTTTGTCTTTTTGTTTGTTTTTTTCTAAGAATTCTTGCCTGGAAACCTTCCACCAATGCCTTGATTCGAACTACTACAGCAGTCACAATGTTCAACGCAGGAATCAAGGTAGTTTCATTCTGAGTTTTCTCCTTGTGGTTCATTGAGACCATCAGGATATTTGGTGTCCACCTATTTCTGTCCAGTTACAACATCAGAATGGGCCCACAGGTCTTGGACCCTGTGTAGTGTCACATTTTTACTTCAGATGTGACTTGAATTCAGCTACAGTTGAAAAATAATTCCTTTCAGAATTACCTGATCTGTCACAAAAAGATTTCTGTAAACCAGAATTAAGATTGTTTATATTTAAGGATGGACAGTTGATTTCTGTGGCATCATCCAAAGTGTCAGTGACAGCATTTGAAACTGTCACAGCTATAAACTCTTCCCTAGCCCAGATGGGACCTTGTGTTTGTGAGGTGTGTGCACCTTGGACTGAGAGATAGCAGGCTCTGGATGATGCAGCCAGATCTTGCCCTGATAAGGAGATGTAGCTGTCCAAAAATATTGTAGCCCTGGAAGATAAACAGGCGGGTTGGTGTGTCCCTGAAAAAATCATTTGGACCAGAAAACAGGCAGCAGTGGCTGAACAGTGCCACTGAGTGGTCAGGAGAGAAAGTGACACCCTGGTTTCTTGGCTTTTCTCCTAAAGATCATGTCTTTTCTGTTTAACAAAGTTGTCAATACTAATTCTGTAGAAAAGAAGAGTTGGGTGTCCTGGGTAATGTGATTTCTTAAGCGATTTAAGTGTTTCATACTTGGGGGGGGGAAAAGTAATATGGCAATGAGGTAAAAAAGAGTCATTGACTTTGAGAATTTTTCAATCTAAAGTTTATGAAGGGAGAGGGCTTATATCAAGAGGAAAATGTCTATATAACAGCTGACTTTTTTTTGCTGAATTGGTGACTTTCTCTGTGTCATCATAGATCAGATTTACAGTATTTTAACACAGCACAGGAAGAAATGCCACTCAGTGGAAACATTGAAACATTAGTCTGACTTTTTTTGTTGAATTGATGACTTTCTCTGTGTGGTCACCTCCATCATAGATCAGGTTTACAGTATTTTAACACAGCACAGGAAGAAATGCCACTCAGTGGAAACATTGAAACATTAGTCTGAGTCCTGGAGTTGTTTGAGCAGTCTCTGAGTTTGAAGTTGACATTTTAATCCATTTTTAACTAACTTTGAGGTTTTGTCCTACATTTTTTTCTAGGTAAATGTCATCCCACCTTCTGCAAGAGCCACCGTGAACTTCCGGATCCACTCTGCGGAGACAGCCGCTGAGGTTAGTGCTGCTTCCCCCCGTGCTGGGCTGTCCCTGCCCCTTTCTGGGCAGAGTGGCACTTGGCCATTCTCTAAGAACACTCTAAAAAAAATCCCTGTATTCCCACAGGCAGTAGAAGGGGAAGATTTGGGAATTGCTCCTTTATGGGAACAGCTTGTCTGTGTGTGTTTTACCCGTAGGTGCTAGAGGCCGTCAGAAACACTGTCGCTGATGACAGGGTGAGGATTGATGTAGTAGATGCCTTTGACCCACTCCCCATCAGCCCATGGGATGACCAGACATTTGGAGTCCATGTTTTTCAAAGAACCATCCTGGATACTTTCCCAGATGTTGTCAGTGTAGTCCCAGGTAACAGCAGGCACATGATGATGATTGTTTCCTCTCCAGCTTCCGCCCTGCTTTTCTCTCCCCCACCCCCAATACTGACTTGTTTCCATTTGCTGTGTACTTCTCCACCCCAGCTGTTAACTGCTGGAAACAGCTGTTTTTTCCTCTTTTTATTCTCTTCCCTCTTTATGTTTTAAAAGTTTTAATGTTGTTTTTTAGTAGTGGAAGTAAAAAAGCAAACAGGAAACTGACGGAAACAATGAGCCTTGAATTGGACTCTGCACATACAAAGGAATCTGTTCAGGGAAGAAAGGAATTGTGAGGGAGAGTAGGAGGTCTTCTTGCTTTAGCTCTTCTTTTATTGTGTTCATAGCTGGCAAAGCCATTCCTGAAATGCTTTTCTGCATTGTTCCTTATGATCCCAACCCCTTCCCTTTCTCGCAGCACCCTTCTCATTCTGTACTGTTTGTTGGACTGCAGTTTGAAGCTTAAACTTTTGTGGAAGGTGGGTATCATGGCTCTTAGAATTATTTAATTGTATGTTCAGCTCCTCCTCCTCATGAGGGAGAGAATCTTCTTCCAGGATGTTCCAATGAACTGTTTCCAGTGATTTTTGCTGTTGGTGTGGCTAGGGGTTATACAGAACTGTTATCAGATGCTTTTGCTTTCTCCTGGGAAAAGTGTGGGTCACTAAATTGCTGCTCTCCCACAAAATAACCCTGAGGTTTGTTTTCCAGGCACGTGTATTGGAAACACAGACAGCAGGCACTTCACCAACGTCACAAACGCCATTTACCGGTTTAACCCGCTGCTCCTGAGACCAGAGGATCTCCCCAGGTACTGGGGTCTGCCTGCGTGGGGGCAGCTGCTCGGGGTGGGGACCAGGGAGGGACAATCCATGGTGTCAGGCAGGAGGAGGAAACCCAGCCTTGTGTACCTTGGCGTGGTGGTGGGACTGCCTCACGTTCCGTTGGGCCACCCGTTTCCTGCAGACCTGGGTGCTGCACAAAGAGGGGATGGTGATTCCACTGGAGGAGTTTTAGCTCTTCTGTACTTCAGACGTAGACAGGACCTTGTTCAGATGTCCCTTTGGTTGTGTGGCAGGGCTGTGGAGCTGGCTGGGTCTGTTATGTAGTGTGGCAGAGGTGGTGCTCTGGTTGTTGGCCTTGTTCAAGAGATTCAGCTTTTATGTTTGGACACATGAAGCTTTGAATTGATTTACTCCTTAAAGCTGGAAGTTGGGCTTCCTGCAGTAAAGTGAAACAATCTAGCAGGTACTAGATTGGTGGTTCTGCTGAGGTGCAGATGACACAGGAGTAGAGTGTTCTCCCAGCTGTACAGGACAGTGACATAAATGGCCAAATAATGGGAAGAGAGCTGAAATACCATTTTTTCTTTTCCACAGGGGCCATGGACTTAGTTTATGTGCTCTGAGCCTTAGAACCAGAGAATCTGCTTGGCCTGAGGAGCAGAAATTGCAGTTGCAGGGCAGTGTTTGCTATATACTGCTGTGTTTTTAATGCTCTGCTTTGTTTCATGTGAACAGGCGAGCAGGGTGCTGGGTTACAAATGCACACTGGAATGAATTCTTCTTCTTCTTCCAGGATCCATGGGTTGAATGAGAGAATCTCAGTTGAGAATTATGAGAAGCAGGTTGAGTTCCTCTTCCAGCTGATTAAGAACTGTGATATCGATGAGCTTCCAGAGCCTCATGTGAAGTCCCACGAGCTGTGAGGAGCACCCCTGAGGAGAGAGTGCTGAGGTGGACTCTGGGCTGTAAGAGCAGTCACATGCTGAGTACTGAGCCATGTCTGGAATTTGGATTTTGTATATTGTACTTTACATACAGATGGAAAAACTGCTGCTTGCTGCTTTAGGCAAGCATGAGGTTTGCCAGAAAATAAGAACCTGGACAAAACACAGCCAATAACCTGGATTTCTGTTCCTCACTGGTCTGACAAGCAGCCATTAATCTGATGGTATTAATTGTTTCAGCACTTTCTTCAAGCCTCTCAAATTGGTAGTCACTTAGAAATCTAAGCTATAATAAGCAATTACTCCCTGTCAGTAAAATAGGGGAATCTTCCCACGTGTGCCTCTGATCAGCTCGTTCTTGCAGTTAATTGTTTTGTCACAAATGATGTCTCTCAAAAGCTCATGTCCAAGGTTGGTGACACAGTGGAGGTTTTGGGTAACAGGTAGAGCTGCCTGAAGTGTTTATTGCAGTGCTGCTGGGGAGGGTGATACCCACAGTGCTCTCCCCATGTGTCAGCATTAGCAGCCCACTGCTCACTTCTCCCTGAAAACTCCTCTCCCTGTCTTGTCAGTGACTTCTTTTTTCCCTCTCTCACTCTTCAGTGTTCCTGTCTTGTCAGTGACTTTTTTCCCTCTCTCACTCTTCAGTGTGGCCCAGGGTGTGTTTGCAGCTGGGTGTCAGGATAAGGAACTTGAGCTTCAGATTAGAAACTAAATCAGCGTTGTCTGCTCGTCTATTTTCTCTTCTCACTGAATCTGTTTCTGTGCTGTATGTTTCCCTCTTCCTCTTCTGAGAAGTCGTTTGTGGGAGATGCTGAAGCCCTTCCCTTTCCCCAGCTCAGTGGGGCAGAGCCTTTATCCCCTCTCTGCCTGCACAAGCAGTTTGTGCTTTGCTGCTGCACTTCTGTGGACTCAGCTCGTTGGGGATCCCCGTGCAGTCAGGCCACTGATGTTTTAACTCCATTTCATCTTGTGCCTCTTGCACTCATGTGCCTCTCTTCATTAGTGCTAAAGAGCTGAACATTCTTTTGGCCTTGAGAATCTTGAGAATCTCTAATTAAACAAAGAATGAAGAACCAGCTGCTGGCCAAAGGAGAGGCTGGGAGAAGGCTGCTCTCTGTACTGACCTGCAGGCACTGGCAGAGCTCCTCCTGTTGCACTGTCACAGAAATGTGTCTCTTTTTTCAGACTTTGAATTACACACTGGAATGGGTGGTTGCTCAGCTCTGAATTCATCTTGTAAAATGTGCTGGAATGTTCAGGAAATACCCTAACATGTATCCTGAGAAACAGTGATGGAACTGTGATTCCTGTTCTTTCCATGCACTGTTCTTATATTTATTTGCAGTCTGATCTTATCAGGATGCCACTGGGCTAAAACTGCATCCATCTACTAAGTAATTGGAACCAGATTGACATTTTCATCTAATAAACCAAGGCATGCAGATTCTTTTCTGATTATTATTTAGTCTTTTTATATAACTGTATGATTGCAGTGAAGTAATTTCCACACCTGATCCCTCACTAGAGCGAGTCATAAAGTTTCCATCAAAACAAACCCACATATTTTCCAGCCTGCTTTAATCCTTGCCCCCTCCCTGGTGCTCCCCTTTCTATACAACATGAGCTGACTCCATTTATGCATTACTGGGTAGTAAATAGCTTGCATCTTTTATGGTTTAGTGCATTTTGTCTCTGTGCCCTGATGTCAGTAATTTGTTTAGCCACATGTCTATGGCTCTTTTGTGAAGGTGTCATTCCTCTTGCCACCTCCTGTTGCAGGCACAGCAAAAGTGATGTGTCAGGGGACAGCACAGAATAAAACACATCCCCAGCAGTGGGAGGTGGAGGGAAGGTTCAGGGGTTTGTTTCTCTGGCAAGTATCTATACAGATGACTGAGTCTAAAGCCTTCACTTTGGCAGTGTGGGGTTCATGTTGTTTAATGTCTTGGTTAATGACCTGGATGATAGGACAGTGCACCCTCAGCAAATCTGAAGGTGGTGCAGAACTGGGAGGAGTGGTTGACTCGCCCAGTGGTTGTGCTGCCATTCAGAGGGACCTCAGTGGGCTGGAGAAAGGGGGGAAATGGGACTCGTGAAGCTCAGCAAAGGGAGATGCAAAGTCCTGTCCCTGGGGAGGGATAACCCTGTGCTGGGAACTGGCTGGCTGGGAAGCAGCTTTGCAGAGAAGGACACAGGGGTCCTGGTGGAGAGGTTGAACGTGATCCAGTAATGCCTGGAGGCAAACAGCATCCTGGGAGTAAAGATTAGGTGATATCCTGAGGTCCCTTCCACCCTGAGGGGTGGTTCTGCTGTGGGGCACAGGCTGTGGAAAGATCCTGTCCTGCTGCTGTGCAGCGAAGGCAGCGTCGTGTGCAAGGAGGGATTTGTTGCCTGTTGGAATAGCAAATGGATCCTAAAGACATAAAAAAATCCTTTGTATTTTGTAGTCTCCCATCCCCAACCAGAAATCCCTCACCTCTGTGTTTTGGTGAGGGTTGTTTCTTTCAAGGACACTCATCTGGAGATTCCTTTTGCTGCTGAAGGGTGGAGGGTGCTGGAAGGCTGGGCTGGTTTTGGCAGGTCCTGTGGGAATGTGTGCCACGGGGGCTCACCAGTGCAGCTCACTGCAGAGCCTCCTTAGTGCTGCTCATCAGGCAGTGCTGAAACCACACAGTGCCTCTGCACAGGGGGATGTCCAACACAGCTCTGCAGCAGCCTGGAACCACACAACTGCTTTACACAGACTGAATCTTGCAGCATCCAGTGGTGAAAAAGCACATTCCTCATCCCTGCCCACCTCTTCCAGCCACTTCTGATGGCAGTCTGTGCTTTTTTACCTGCAGCAGCTTTACCCTTTTGTATTTTTAAGTCTCCTGATTGTGTCATATTAGCTGCTATACTGTGCTTACCCAGCTGAAGGGTCACTCAGCAGTTTGGTGTCTGCACACCTCTGCTGACAGAGCCATTTTCTCTCCAACTCATGGGACTGCTCCCATGAGATGTTCTCAGAGAACGTCTCTCATCCTGAGTGGCATTTGAATAGTGTCATCAGGTAAATAATAGTGTAAGGATGATGCACTGGCCTCTTCTGAGGTCATACCCAGCTCTGTGCTGTATGAATAGTTGGGGGGAATGCCAAGTACATCATGAAAACACAGATTAACAGCTCTGCAAGCTATGATATCTTTTTTTTTGGCCATGAGTCACTCTGAGCATGTAGAGCAATTACCTCTGATTCACCAGAGAAGGAAGAGCCTGAATTTTTGCTCTGAAGGCACATAACTTGACATGATACTGAATGGAGTTCTGAACACTTGTGTCAGTCCAATTCTGTGTCCTTGGGTTATATCCATAGCAACTTCCTTTTCTCCCCTGCTTTGTGGCCAAGTCTGCAGAGCTGCCATTCTGACAGCAGTTACTTGAGGTAACATGTCTGTAGCTGTCCAGCTGTAGCAGCCTGCTAGCAGCAGACCAGCTGATTGAGGGTTGTGTGGGCCTGCTAGATGAAGAAAAGGTCACATTCCACACCTGCATGTTCTAAAGAAAGCTCTGTTGCTGGCCTCTGTGTAAAAGAACTTGGTTTATTTTCAGCCCCAGGTGACTGTGGAGAGTCCAGGCACAGAGCTGGAGGAGAATGCAGGAACAAGGTGTTTACAAAGTTGTTTCCTCCAGCTTTGCCTTTGACACTTGCATCCTTGGCTCCTCTTTTGCCCTGTTGTTTGGCCTTTCATGGAGCTGGTGAAATCCATTTTCTCAAGCAGGTGCTGTGGAAGCTTCCCCACTCAGCTCAGACTTAGCAGTGCTGTGGGGCAAGGCACCCACTGAGGGATCCAGAGGCTGCTCAGCCACAGCCTGCAGTATCCTTTGCCACTGTAGAGAAGTGGTAGCTGAGCCTGGGACCCTTAATCCTGACCTTCAGTGGTCTTTAGCTCTGCCTGCTGCTGCCAGGCTGAACCCTGCCTGGATTGCTGCCAGTGCATTCAGTCCTCATCCACAGCTCGCTACCACCCTGAAACTTTCAGTGACCTTTATCATTTTAGTCCCCAAATCCAGGCTCTCACAATAACCCTGCAAAGAGCCTGCACTGCTGTGGCCTCTGAGGTCTAGTAGAGCACTGGCAGCTGCATGCCAACATCTCTTGGTGCCCGTAGCAAGGCCCAGGGGGTTGTTTTCCCTGCCTGAACAGCACAGCAGAGGTCCAGCCTGCGTGTGAGACCCGGGCGCTTGGCTCCGCTTTCCGGTTCCACAGCTTCCCGGGGCAGCAGGGGAGGCAGAGATAAAGAGCTCAGCATGGTGGGGAAGGGAGTGACCTGCCTCCCTCGGTGGAGATCCCTCTGATTTAAGAGCTGTGGTGGTGGGCCCCAGAGGAAGCTGCAGTCGGTTCTCAGCAG